GGGGCTGCCTGGGGGGGAGTGGCAGGGCTGGAGGGAAAGAGGAAAGGAAACCCTGCTCTGCCCTGAGTCCCTCTGCCCTCACAGCGCACCAAACGCCCTCACATGGAGCCCAGGACTCGACTTGGACCATCTCTGCCCGCCTCAGCCACCAGGTACCCTTGGCAGGCTCACCTTGGTGTTTGAGACATTTATCCACTCACTTGAGTGGTTGCATGTCATACGTTCATACATAACTCCAAGCGCATTGGCTCAGTCTCAACTCACATTACTGAGTTCAGATCACATACCAGGCTCCAGGAAACTGCAGTCCTAGGAGCCCAGGCTCGGATGTCCAGCCCCAGCCCCTCCTGCCCCGCAGGTGGGGACAGCCCAGGACCCGGAATGGAGGGTTTGGAGCGGCTCATAATGGAGGCCCAGCCCTTGACCCCAGGGGCTTCCTGTACCCTCTTTCTTGCAGGAAAGCCCCCCGGCTTCAGGACTTCCGCTGCTTGGCTGTGCTGGGCCGGGGACACTTTGGGAAGGTAGTCTGGGCCTGAGGAGGGTGTAGTGAAGGGGGTGGGCAGGCCCTAGCACACGAGCTGGGGGACACTGGGATCTGTAGGGTAGTGGGTGGGGGAAGTAGGTGCTCCTGTGCTGCCCACCTGGAGCCCCACCTCTCTTTGGTCCCCAGGTCCTCCTGGTCCAGTTCAAGGGGACGGGGAAATACTATGCCATCAAAGCCCTGAAGAAGCAGGAGGTGCTGAGCCGGGACGAGATAGAGAGGTGTGTGGAGAGGCCAGGGGGCGCCAGGCACCCGGGTACCCAGAGGGTACCCAGGATTGCAGGCCTAGGCTGGTGGCCCCAGGAGGCAGCTGAATGCTACTGGGGCTTTGAAGAGGTGACCCTGTGGGACCAGCCAGGCCTGGGTTCTCTTTTTGGCAACTGCAGTTGTTAACTGTGTGCGCTTCTGTGCACCTCAGCTTCCACATCTGTGAAATGGGGACAGGGTGGTTGTATGGTTCAGTGACCCATGTGAGCCCCTGATACATGTTTATACACCCACGCTGCCTGCCTGGCACTTTGACTTAAGAGTCAGTGAACCAGGAGGGTTGTGTGGGTGACAGGGCACAACTCGGGGAGGTTTTCCTTCCCTTTTGGGTTCCCTCCTTCCCTCTAAAACCCACCCTCCCCTGCAGCCTTTACTGTGAGAAGCGGATCCTGGAGGCTGTGAGCCGCACGGGGCACCCCTTCCTGCTCTCCCTCCTTGCCTGCTTCCAGACCTCCAGCCATGCCTGCTTCGTGACTGAGTTTGCACCAGGTGGTGACCTCATGATGCAGATCCATGAGGATGTCTTCCCTGAGCCCCAGGCCCGGTGCGTTCCCATCTCCCCTGTCTGCCTCTTCCAGCAAGCCTTCCCTGGTTCCCTGTACCCTTCATCCCTTCATCCTGCTTCCTCCAGAGTGCCCGTCAGCAGATGTGCACGGAGTCAGGGAGGCCCAGGTTCAAATCCTGGTTCTCAACCCTCACCGCATTTGTGAGTTTGGACCTCAACTTAGGTAGCTGTGAATTGGGCTAATAATAACTTTCCCAGGCCTGTTGCATAGATGAACATAACATTTATAAATTGCTGAGCACAGGGACAAGTGAGCAGTAAGTGACTGACAGCTGGAATTGTTACTTCTGGCCAGAGTGTGGGCTCTGGAGCCTGGGTTCACATATCAGCTCTGCCACTAGCTCTGTGACCCTGGGCAGGTCGTTTACCTGGAGTCTCTGATTCTCACTTGAAAAATAGGCATGATGCGTGTATGTGTATCAACGGCAGCCTGCTGGGAGGATGCCAGGTAGGCGTGGAAACGCTTGTTATCATCCCTGGCACAGTCTACGAGCCCAGGGAGGACAGGCTGTTAGCTGGCAGCAAGTACGAGGCTGTTATCTGGAGGAGCCTCCCCGCCGCCACACGTTTCTTGTCCACATCTGACTCTAGCCAGGACATCTGGGGGTCCCCAGGCCATGGCCATCCTGGTGCCTCCCTGCCCTGTCCCCCAAAGTCCAGGGTCTGAATGGCCCCCTACACCACCCCTCCAGGTTCTACCTGGCCTGTGTGGTCCTGGGGCTGCAGTTCTTACATGAGCAGAAGATCATTTACAGGTAACTTGTCCCCGAGATGCTGGGCGAGTGGGCGTTGGGGGCAGATGTTGCCCTCCTCCTGGGCTGTTCGGGGGCAGGGCCGCTGTTCCCTGGGCTTCAGCCTTTCTCAGCCCCTTTGATCTGCTCCCCTTGCCCTCAGAGACCTTAAATTGGATAATCTTCTACTGGATGCCCAGGGTTTCCTGAAGATTGCGGACTTTGGGCTCTGTAAGGAAGGTGGGTATTTCCTGTCCAGGATTCCATCTCCTCCAGCCTTGCTCACCCAGCCCAGGCCTGCAGGGTGGTGGGCAAGTGGCATCTCCTAGGAAATCTGCCTCCCTGGCCCTCCTTCTAGGGACCAGCTGGACACATTGGCTTTTCCTTCACAGCCCTAGAAGCTCTAAAAGAGTCCCTTGCCCTTGGCCAGAAAGGAGCCTGGGCTGTGAGAGGCCCCTGGGCTCTGCTTTCTGTGTGACCTTGGCAAGCAAGTCTGGCTGAGCCTCATATTCCTGATGTCAGATGGCATAAAACTGTTCCCACCTTGGACGGTATGGGGCAGGGCTCAGCACGGGTGTTCAGTACATGGGGTCATGAGGGCTGGTCACTGATTCTTATAACTACAGAGGTTATTGTGGATGAGACACGCCATGCTGGCATGCGTGTGGATGTTGGTTTGCAGGGATTGGCTTTGGGGACCGGACAAGCACTTTCTGTGGCACCCCGGAGTTCTTGGCCCCCGAGGTGCTGACCCAGGAGGCCTACACGCGGGCTGTGGACTGGTGGGGGCTGGGCGTGCTGCTCTATGAGATGCTGGTGGGCGAGGTGAGTGCTGGACTGGGGGCTGCTGGGGCTTCTAGGCCGGGGTGGAGTTGGGGGTGGCCCATGCACCCTGCTGAGTCCCCATTCCCTGCAGTGCCCGTTCCCAGGGGACACTGAAGAGGAGGTGTTTGACTGCATTGTCAACGCGGATGCCCCATATCCCCGCTTTCTGTCGCTGCAAGGGCTTGATCTCATTCATAAGGTAATCACTGCAGTGCCCAGGGCTGGGCGGGCCAGCTGCTGGTGGCTCTCAGGCTCCCCACCTGAGAGGTTAGGGGAGGAGGCGGGCAGTGCCTGGGCCGAGCGCCCTGGATGAGCACCCGTCCTCCTGCCCAGCTCCTCCAGAAGTGCCCAGAGAAGCGCCTAGGGGCGGGCGAGCGGGATGCCGAGGAGATCAAGGCACAGCCTTTCTTCAGGGTGAGTGGCCAGGGCCTCAGAGGTTGGTCCCAGGTGCCTGGCTCAGTGGGAGGCGTCGAGGGCCCCTGGGGGCTGCCGTTCCCATTGTCTCAGGCGCCTCTACCCTCCTTCCTAGACCACCGACTGGCAGGCCCTGCTCGCCCGTGCCGTCCGGCCCCCCTTCGTGCCCACCCTCTGTGGCCACACAGACCTGCGCTACTTCGAGGGCGAGTTCACAGGGCTGCCGCCTGCTCTGACTCCACCTGACCCTCGCAGCCCCCTCAGTGCCCACCAACAGGCTGCCTTCCGGGACTTCGACTTCGTGTCCGAGCGATTCCTGGAGCCCTGAGGGCTTCCTGGCACCTCCAAGCCCTGTACCCCTAACAGCTAGAGCCTCCGCTCGCCCACCAGGGCACCCTGCCCAGAGGCCCAGGCCTGGCCCGCTACTTAGGAGCCCTTGGGACTTGATGTGCCAGCCACAGGGCTGTTGTCATGGGCTTCACTCAGTCACTGGGCCAAGTGCTGCCTGCCCCTATCCTGCCGACCCTTCCTCTACCCTCTGCGACGCCTGGACCACAATGGGTGGCACAGCAAGGAG